AGAAAGAGGAGCCGGTCGACGGGTAGCTCGCTCACGGAAGCGGTCATCTTCATCGGAAGAAGGTGGCCATAGGGGATATCCGCCCCCTCCTAAAATGAGTAAAAAATCGCCCCGGAATTCTCCAAGGAACCAAGAATTTAAAAGAAATTTGTATAACACTCTACCATCTATACCAGTAGCGTTACCAGAACATCAGGTTCCGCGGCAGGCAGAGCCCTCAACATCCAAACTAGTAGTACCAGAGCGTGAGGTACAGGTTCAGGTGCCAGAAAAAAAGTGTGACATACCAAAAAAGTCACACTTTTGTGTATCATCGGGAAAGATTACATTGGAATCATTGGCACTGGGCCTTTGCCACTTATCAAGTAAGCATTGCATTGTAGTGAATGCACAACCAATCATATATTTTATTTTCAGAGACTGTACATAATTTTCAAAATAAATTAAAAGATATTCGTATGGAGATCGCAAGTAAAATGCCTGCAAACGACCCAGCTCTAAATGTTGAGGATCCTGGAGAAGATATCGAGGAGCCGATATTTAGTTTGCCGCTGAAAACCATAGATGAGCTTCAGGCGTTTGAGGAAAAGTTGAAAGAAAAAGAATTTTCTACAACAATTGTAAGTAATTCATCACACTTTGGTGTATAAGTGAATTTGTAATCTTTTCCCGTATTTTCTTATTTTATTTCAGGCAAAAGTTTTGGTACAGAAGATTGAGAAAACAAATATTTCTAAAAGTGCTAGAAGTGCTTTAAAGCAATTGTTGGATCATTCACTATATCAAAAATTTAGTTGGAAAGGCCAACAGAGAAAGGATCAGGCTGAACCGAAGGAATGTTTCTCCAAGCTGCGCACGTGCGAATTAATTTACAGTAAGTTTTTCTTTTCTAGTTTATATTTTTTATATTGGGTCTTTGCTAGACATTCTGACATATCACTGTTCTTGTAGGAAATTGTTTGATGTGAACTTTTAATAGTGAAACACTTCAATTTAATGTAAATACCTACTCCAATAGTATATTTATTTTCAAATCTACAATACGCTTTTTCTCTATTTTTCACCATTGTTTTGACGGTTCGGTTTGGTTGGGGTTTCAACAAATGCGGCAGCGTTTTCAACCAGTCTGCATTTGTGCCGCCACAACTCATTTATGTGAGCCGCGCCGGCTCAACAACCCGACGTATTAAATTATTGGTAACAACAGTCAATAAATGTTACTTTAAATAGTAATCGTGTTTCATATCTAAATACCATAGCGTTACAACTAGATTTTGAATACCTCTGCATTGAAATTAGCCAGTCCAATAGAGCTGCAAGCTGTAGCAGGGCATTCTGGTCGTTATGATTAACGAGCAGGCAGCAAGTTTCTTTTGTCAAGGGTATTCCACTATTCAAGACCTAGCTGTTAGGTTGATAACAAACTTGGCAAACTATGTCTAAAAATAGAGAAGAGTGTGGAATTGAAAATAATATTGTTTTTGAAGATTTTGTTTGTTTCATTTCGCAAATGGCCTTACTTAAGAACGCGCGACGTAGATAAAAATGCACACACTAAGTTTCTTTCGTTGTGAAAATTTACTAAAACAACCACAGAAAATACTTCAACGACTTCGAAGCTTGTTAATTACAATGGCAAAAAGTGGTAATGAACCAAATTTTGTTATGATGTGACTAATTTTTCTAATTGTTTTTGGCAGTGCCAATTTTTGCAAAACTTGTGGGAGAGAAAAGATGTTCGGACACAACCCGGAGAATTCTTTTTCCAAAACAAGTAACGAATAATTTACTTTGTCCTACAATTGGCGGGAAGGAATAACAAAAAATCATTGCCAGTTTAAATAATGGTCTTGAAGCTAATTACAGGTTTGAGGAGAGTAATTAGGAAAGTTATATGTAGTTTGATTCCATTTAATTTTTAGTTCCACTCGAAAAAATTCCAGTAAAAACACCACACAATGTGGAATCTGTTGGAAAATTATAGCTTCGTAGTGCTGCAGACAGGATGGTGGTCGTGCGAAGCAAAAAATATCAACTAAACCAAAATTGTGGTAATTATAAATTTTTTAGATTTTAAAATACCTATTCATTTCTTTATTATACCTGAATCACAATCTCCGTTTTAAACACACGTGCTTTAAAGTTGCTAAGTAACGATACTTCAAGTATGACTTTTGAAACTGTCATCTGGATGAAATAAAAAATCCTCTTAGGTCGCTTTCTGCAAAATGCAGAACATTTTTTTGGCTTGTACCTATCCTTTGGTTGAAGCTTTCACAAACGCGCGTAATTTAGGGTATGCTTCCAAATCTGTTCCACTTTTTAATCGCAGCATTGTTTTAAAGTTTGAATGAATGCACCAAAATA